TGTGTGTGTGTGTGTGTGTGTGTGTGTGTGTGTGTGTGTGTGTGTGTATGTAATGATCTGTCTCTTCTCTGTATGAATTCAAAGGGCTTAAAAGTACGGCGTGAGATTCCGATCCACATCCTCCATCCTCCTTTCTCTTGCCATGAGGCCTGGGGCTAAAGCTTAAGTGCTGAAGGTACTGCCTACTGTTTACCCTGTAGATTCAGGCTCATTATGTTGCTGTAACTGTAGAGACCAATTTATTGCCCAGGGTTCTCTGGTCCCAGAACTGTGGGTTAAAGCTTTACCCCTGGAATCTTAAGTAAACTGTATATCTTAGGTTCAGAGGTTTCCTTCAGTAAAAACCAGGTTGTCAGATACAGAATATGTCAGGCCTGTGACTTTGAACCATCAGAGGCTTGAGTGGGTTGCGTGGTTTCGAAGAGCCGGCTTGCAGAGGCGCCTGGAATCTATTATCCCATAAGATTAAGGGGAAGTCCAACCGAAGCTTGGGGTTTTGTCTGGAAACACAGACTTGATGAGGCAATGCCTTTTAGCCAAAGAAATTATGTTGGTTTGATTAACTGAGGGAAAAACTGGATGTGCAGTCATCACACTGGAATTCTTGCTAAACCAAGCAGAATTGTGGCAGAGAAGCCATAGCGTCAAACCCCACTCAGAGCTTTAGACACTGCTCCAGACTTAAGTAACCCTTAAAATTCGTTCTTTGGGGAAGTAGAGCATTTAGCTGTGATTAGAGGGAACAAAATGCCAGCCAGGGCACCACAGAATGGGAACCATATTTTTACAGAGATCTGTTTCTTCAATATGTTTTTACTGGGTGGGAGCAGGGAAACACTGCCCAAGTTGACATTAAAAGCAACTGTTTTACGTTCCTAGGAGATCAGTTCCTTTTTTCCTCAAGGTGTCAGACCTATTTGCTGACATAGTGGAAATATGTAGATGTGGTTCTTTCTACCGAACTACGGGATCAGAGTTCAGATGTTAAGTGATCTCAGTTGACAGCCTGTATGAGGGCACAAGTCACAACTATTTGCAGGGCTGTTTTCTCCATCAGTAGAAAATGTCGGGAACCTAAAACAAAACAAAAAATTACTGGCTTTAAAAATAAGAAAATGGGAAAACGCTATGTAGTGGATATAACTTGTCGTCTGCAATTCAACTCAACTTTCCCCAGCTACATTTCAATTATATTTAATATGTAGCATGAGTGTATTTAACAGGTTCTGCTGTACCATGGACAGTCGTCCTCAACAGTGCCTGGCGCCTATGAGGACCTGTAATGGGCCAGACTAAATTTGTAATGAAAGGTTTCCAAACCAAGCCCAAGTAAACGTTGGTTTTCAGTTGTTTTGAAGGGTCTTTGGTATTGTAAGTAGATTGACAATCCAAAAAGAAAACAAAATTTCTCTCTGTAAATCCTGAATCTTGTTTTTCTAATTACAAGTCAAACATGGTTATACTTTGATAGAAGTAATTTGGAAAAGACAACTAATTCTGGATAGACTTCAGTAAATGGGAACAGACTTGCAAGCTCCAAGTGAAAATTCAAGGCCATTGTTCAGAAATCAACCTCAGTCACTGCATGCAGATGCTTCCGTCTTTTGTGATTAGCTAATGGCTTTTGGGTAAACCAGTGCTTTCCTCCCAGATAGCAGACTGATACAAGAAACAGAAATAGGAGGACTGTTTGGAGTCCTTGGACAGTAGGAATTCCTCCACAGTGAAAGGGGGATTTAAATTGCAGAGTTCTGAGCTGCCCTGCAAGGGTCTCATCAAAGAGAAAGACAGCCCCTCATATGTTAGGGTCTTATGTTTGGGATGAGCATTGCTCATTACAGAATCGCTGTAGAACCATATTCCCTGTCTTTTGCAGCAGTAGAATGGGGGCTTATGTGAATTGTCCCAATGAGGTTGTGCTCGTACCCTTTCCATAATAATAATAATAATAATAATAATAATAATAATAATAATAAGAAGAAGAAGAAGAAGAAGAAGAAGAAGAAGAAGAAGACATCCAAAGGGGATGTATTGGCATTATGATCAGATCATCCATGTGTTCCAGAGCTCTGAAAGTCCACAGCTAACTTCCTTTCGCCGGGGAATGCCATCCAAAAGGGTTTTGTGTCATATACTCCAGGCTACAATGCTTTGTGTTTAGTGGTAGATATGAAACACTGGACTCCATTTGGCATCCTTAGTAGCTTCAGTGATTCATATAGAGACTCCTGGATTCACCTATTGGCTTTGCAAGGAATAGAGCTGAGACGAATCTCCTTATAATGTGCCATGAGCTGCAACAGTGGCAACGGTTTCTGAGGGAAACTAGGACAATAAGGTTCTGGAAGAGGGCAGGGAAAGGTAGCTGTCACAATCTGTTCAGGTGACTTTGTTTAAAACCTTTGTTGTTTACTTGATCTGAGTTTGACCTAGTCTTACATGCTAAGGAGTGACACAGTGAAGTAATATTGGGCAATTCTTAAAGACATTTGGTTCTTTTCTGGTCAAAAGCAGCAGCCTGTTATATTGTGACTCCCCTCGTACATATGCTGGTCAAGGCCAAAGAATGAATGGCTTTAATCTCTCGTCAAAATTGACCTGCTGTTGATACATTGTTCTCTACTTCAATGATGAATAAGTGAAATACAGGGATGGCCCCGTATTTCCACCAATTCCTAAGTATTACTGAAAGGATGGCTGAGCATGTAGCTCAGTTGGTAGACTACTTGGCTAGCATGCAGGAAGCCCTTGGTTTGATCCCTAGAACCACATAAAACTGGGAGTGGGGTGCATACCTGTAATGGAAGGTGAAAGGGGAGAAAAAGAAGGCCAGATTATCATTATTTTCATATGTTGAGAAGGTCAATCATCCTTGGCTTCACATCAAGTTCAAGGCCAGCCTGGGCTGATAATAATAATAATAATAATAATAATAATAATAATAATAATAATAATAAT